CTATATCAAATGGTCTGCTCTGCTGTTCCCCAGAGGTGTCAGTCTGCTTAATACTAGGGGCTTCCTTTGTTCAGTGTGTGCCGTGTAAGTCTTTGAGGTTTCTCTAGCGTTGTATCCTCAGCCTACTGACAGCACAGAGGCACTGAGCTCTTCCACAGTAAGTGAGCTGCTGGACTTCCCTCTTCCCAAGTCAAAGAGTCCAGAGAAATCAATACCTGCTGCCTAATGCACAGGTCACATTCTTGCAGATCCTTGTAAACTAGAGACCTTATAAAGCAGGGACCAACTGATATTCCCTCAGTAAGGAAGGTAGCCTATGACTTTCCAACCAATGGGGAATGTGCTGCCATATACCTATCGAGCCATGCTACTTCATCTGTAAGAGAACATAACAGAAAGGGAAGTATTTTTCACACTTTCCTTTTTCCTCATTGAAAAGAAAAAGAAAAATCTGGTCAAGGAAATGTAGAAATTATCATCAGGATGTGTTTCTAATTCTCAGGTATGTGATGGGTGTTTCAGGCAGTTTTCTCCTCACTGAGGAGAGACCTAATGGCAGATATGGGGTCCTGTGAAATCATTTTACTTCCCTAGCAGTGACGCTACAGCTACAGTTTTGATTATATGTAACATGGCTACATATGGCTGTTGTACAGCTGTTTAGTACACACTGTCTCACCAGCTGCTGTCATGGGGTCAACTGATTCCTGAGGCTCAGTACTACCTGTGCCTTATAAAGCCAGATGTGGAGAATGTATGGAAAGCTCCTTTGTGTTATAGTACTATGCCATCCAAGCTGAGTTGGCGTTAGGCCGGCAGAAGACAGAAAACGAGCTTGGTGGCAGGATGTGGAGGATGCCAGGTTGTCTTGGAGTTTTGAAATGGACCTGTGCTTTGCTGCCATTTCTGTTAACCTACGTTTTAAACAATTTTTAAAGCTGTGTTTCCTGCTGGTTTTTAAAAGAGGAAGCTAGTTGGGTTATACACATCCAGTGAGGTGGAAATATGTGTGTGTTAGTTACTCTTTTGATTTACTTGCTCCTGCAGAGGTGAAACCACAGGAATGAGCCATGACCACATGGGTCCAGTCACTACAGAACCAGAAGATATTGACCCTTACCCTAATGCTGTTGTAGTTTATATGCAACTGAGTTGATTTCTATGAGAAAAGGATGATTTGTCACGTAGTGTTTGAAACATTTTAAGGTTCTACCAGCTTTGTAAAAATATATGGAATTATCAATGGAGAGTATGATGCCTGGCTGTGCAATACCCTGGGTGATTGCTAGGGCTTGACTGTGAGAAATGATTTATACCATGGTAGTGCAGTTTGAAATTCCTAAGGGAGCATAAGCAAAGCAGTTCCATAATTCCCCACAGTTACAGAAGGAATGCCATTAAAAAATTAACTTTGTTGCAAAATTAAATTTAAAATGCAGAATGCAATGAGGCAGTGTCCCTAACAGAGACCAAAAAGGTCGTATCCATTGATTTTTATTTTTCTTCATGGGATGTTGCCATCTGAGAATAATGTCATGTCCCAAGTTGAATTCCAAAATAGGTAGTTTGCAAGTGCATTTAATCAATCTGTAATTACTGACTTGGCTTCAGATAGGAAAGTATGGTCAGTGAAATGACAGGCTGGCTACACTTTCTATTCTCCTCCCAGGACCTAAGGAAAGGCCATGATAACCCAAGATCATTGCCTGAATCTGTCCCAAGAAGGCTTTTTGAAATGACTGCCCTAGCTTCAGTAATTCCTGCATTGTAATATGGCACAAAACACCCTGATTTCTTGTTGTCATACATGTTCTGTTCACTTGCTTGAACCCTTGGAGAGAAAACTCCTCCAATATAGCAACTAGCAGGTGTCCAAAGTGGATTATAGCCTGAACCACTACCCCAAGAGAGTATCTGTTCTTTCTGGGAAACAGCAAATGCACATCAATCAGAAAAGCACACACAAAAGGCATCCCGTAAAATGTTAGTAGACCTAGATGTAGCTTTCTGGCCTTGTAACAAACTTAACTGTATTAAGTAGGAAAAAGATATCACCAGTCAGTATATTCTGATGATGTCTCGTTGGTCCTCTTCTTCTGGTCTTCTCGGTGGTTGCAGACTGTATCTGTCAAGTGGTGGGGGGAAAGAGTCCACACAAATCCTGTTTCATGGGGTTTATATTGTGTGGAAGCTAGGTGGAAACGCTCCCTGTACCTCCCCTGGATGATGTAATAGTTGATCATGAGACATTTCATGAGTCTTTGACACCTTCTAAGATGTTGCAACTGTCTCTTACTTCAGCATAGTTGAATCAATCATGGCCCATTATGGTTCATCATGGGAGATGAATAGCTCAGGCTTGGTGTGAATGTCTTTGGTTCTCCCCAGAGGGGTTTTCACAGCTGAGTCATCATATAAGAGAGGACACTGTCATGATAAGAAGGACTATTCCACCTCGAAAGATTTGCCTCTTATCAGCCCTTATCTGGAAATCCAGTTTGTAGCTTCAGGTATGCACACCCTTTTGCACCTGGGATAGTTGGACAATAGTACCACCTTATCTCAAGGTCCTTCCCCAGTCCAAATTAGTAGACATACCCAGGGATGGATGGCCTTCAGTTGATGAGCAGCTGTTTCTTTGCAGTGTGCTACAGTGGACAAAAGTTTTTTGGTGATCTTAACAATATTTAAGCCCTTAACCATTTCAGTATCTCACAACACTTGAAGCCAAAAATGAAGAAAGAGTTTCTGAAACATGCAGTGAAAAGATGAGTCTTGCAAACATGCAGAATTGGCATAAAGAGTGGGAGGAAAATAAACCCTCTTATACTGTAAGAAAGTCCTAAGGAAAAGGAACAGTAGATTCTTCAGTAGATTAGAAGGATGATATTAGCTAAGGATATCACTGTCTTTTTCAACTCACATGGACAAAACATCAAAGAGAGAAAGACTTCTTAAAGACTAAATATGTGAGATCAGTCTTCAAAAAAGACAGGGAATAGCTCTCAGCAATCAATGCAGTTGCTAATAAAGTAGCACAAACAAAAGCATTTTGGCATTTATTAAACATTAGCCTGTGTTTGCACATAGATAATATGGACAAAAGGATCCCTAGGTGAAGAATCTGGAGTCTGCAGTAAAGGGAATTGGCTCCAATGAGGGATTATGAGTGTCTCTTTTTATGGAGCAGTCATCTTCAAACTGTTTTGATCCAACATCCTTAACAGTAAAAAAAATTTTGAGCATGTCTGACCAAGCCTGGCCCTTTGGAGTCAGTTCTTGAATCTGCTAGGCTCTGAAGGAGTTGCCTGATTTTCTGAGCTGATGCGCACCCCTTGCTTCAGCTGGATGAAATCTAGGATGGGCCACTCTCTGCTGGAGACACCATAAGGCCTAGGGAGACACTAGGGAACAAGACGAGTAAACTAGTAAGACTGATGTTTTCAGAGAAACTTCAACTTTCAGTGCTTAGATGCCCACTACTTGGATTGATTATGAAAGCCCCCTGCCTTTGTTAGGGTGGATGTTCGATAGGAAGTGTTTTCACTGTTCTTGGAGTCTATGGAGAAATAAAAACAATTTAGTCTAACAGATAACAGTTTAAACACAAAAATAACCATTTTTTGAAAGTAGTATTTCCATCTGGTTGTAAATGAGGTATCAAGCTTTTCATTAGAACATTATCTGTGATCTACAATATTCAATCGTAAACTGAGAAAGAATAGCAGCATTCAGCCTGTTGACTGTTAAAGGTTTGATGGTTTAGGACAGAGAATCAAGAAATTTTTGGAAGCTGGAAGTTCTTATCTATAGTTCTAGTCTTAGAAGTGTATAACTTATAATTTTTCAGTATAACTTAAAAATGCAGTACTTCAATTTTTTTTCCTTTGTTTAATCAAAGTCATGTCTTTTTGAGTTGTGTGGTGGTATTTTTAATATTTAGCAATAACATGATTTCATTTTAACTGCCGGCTATGTGAACAGTGCATCTAAGTGATTCCGAGGAATCCTTTTTAGCTCTAGCAATCTGGTAGATCAGCCTGTCAGGTAGCAGAATTTTAATTTCCAATGTGTTTACATGCATAGATTTAAGGTGAAAAATTATTTCCTTGTCTTTCCTGTGTGCCAGGAATCAGGAAGAATGTTTGTACTTAGTAAAAATTCTCAGTTGTCTGGAGTAAAGAAAGGAAATAGGCTCTGTATTTATACAGGTTTTTTACTAAGTTTTCTCACTGTTGAGCAATATGTAACTCCAGGAATATTAATGTAATCCATCAGATTCATTGTCATGTTCTTTGGATTAAGAAATACACCTAAAATCCAATTTCTTAGTCCAATCTTGTTTCAAGTCCAGGAATTTGCAAGGTTATATGGATTCATATAAAAAACTTAAACTGAGGAACAGGAAATGTGATCTTTAATGTGTTTTAATCTTGTCATGGAATTTTACATTTTAAATTTCAATGGAAATACTAATTTTATTTTGGTGATCACCATTGCCTTCTTTTTTTTTTTTTTTTTTTTTTTTGGCAAATACATACATACTGGTTTGCAAAATATGATAGTATTCCTGACCAGGAGGATATACAATACCTATACCAGTCTGAGTCAAGCAATGATGTCGTTTAATGTGCACGCATTTAGGATCCTAATTTTTGCATTTTATTATACTAGAAAATCATGGGTTCATTTTTATCAGAAGATTAATTTGTGTCAAGATCTAATTAGATTGAAATTGGAATTCAATTACGATGCACAAATAGCTTTAAATTTTTTTATTAGTTATCTATCCAGACTGTTGGTGGTAGTTTTACTTAAAGCTTAAGAAAATATTTTTTACTGAAAACTGAGCATTAAAAATCCATCTATACTTAGGGAATTGAACAGATTGTTTCTGTTTGTTCACGTCCTTCAGTATTTTAAACTAGCTTAATTTACATTCTCACACCTTATTTTTCTTAATGTTTTTAAAATAACAATGAGCTTTCCTGGTTTTTCAGCTCCCAGTTGATTTCTCAGCTTTCAGTGCACAAGTCTTTGAACTGAACTAGTTGAATAGACTAAAACATCTCCCTGTACTAAGACAAAAGACTCCTGTTGTCAAAATAAGGTTCCTGTTTTAACAAGCCATGAATCTAGAAGTTTGGACAGTGGGTTATATGGATTTAATGGTTTGATATAAAGTGCCAAGTGAGAACCTGTACTACTTGCTCTTTTCAAGTTGAATTTTAAACAAATTATTAAAAAAAACCCCAAAGAGAATATGCTTCTGCACTCCAGCTGCTCTGGTTTAGAGTCCAATGTAAGTTTAAACTACCTATATTGGTATCTATTTCTATGTGTCCTCTGACAGCAGCAGTGGCTATTGAATGATGAAAGGAGCAGGTACTGAGTAGGTTGCATGTATACATGTTATTATGGAAGTTACGTGTTCATAATTTCATTATATTCATTCTGTCTCAGGAGCTAATTCTAGTTTGTTTTTTCCCCCTCCCTTGTAGACCATGAGAATAGACTTAGGAAACCCATCGCACATTAAAAGTCTTGACTCGGTAAAAAATTAAATTAGAATTAGTGTACAGGGATTTAGGTAATAAATGGTACAAGTCCTGCAGACCCCTGACTTGTAAAAGCAGCCCAGGACTGACCACTTCAGTGTCTCTTCAGCAGTTCATAAAGAAGATTAAACTGGTTCATACCAAGTGAGAGGGCCTGTTCAGGTTTTCTTAAAATGCAGCCTGCATTCTTCTGTGCTGTTCATCACCTGCCAGGTCATCCTCTTGCACAGTCATAATACTACTAGCTGAATTTAGTTTTTTTTCTGTCTCTTCATAAATCTGTACTGCCAAACAGTTAATAGCAGGACACAGCAGCGAATAGGCATGGAGTAATCCCAGCAGATGGATGGCTGTCTCTCTGCTTCAGAGTGAAATGTCTGTACTACTGAACAAGGGGTGCCTGTATTGTACTGTGAGCCCCCTCTTCCTTCCTTCTGTGCTCCACTTTTGTCCAGAGATCTTTGCTGCTTCAAGGCTGGGTGCCCCCAGTGAGTATGTAACACTGGTGTCTTTTTTTTCCCCCCAGAGCTCCCTTTGAATTCTCTGATTTAATGCCTGGAGCTCTTTTCAGTCAGCTATTCAGTCAGCTGCTTTCCCTTAAGTTTTTCCCCTAGGTGTGTTTAAAGAGTGATTTGAAGGAAATTAGGCTGGTGAGTCTTGTTCTTTTTATGATGAATAAATGCCTACCATTCACAAAAAAGTGTTCTCCCCTCTCTTACCACTCCCAAGGAAAAAGATTGCATCCTCTGCTATGGTTCCTATAGGAGGGCTTTTCGGAGAAGTCGAAAAGAGACAGGGAGCTTTCACCATCCTTCATAACAGAGTTGTTGAAGCCTTTTCTCCTAAACAACAAAAAACCCTTATCGCCTTTTTTACTCTCGCCTGCGCTTAGAGCAAAGTTAGAGCTCTGTGCTTCTGATCCCGATGAGATGCGGGAGGGAGCTCTCCCTTTCCCTACAGCTCCTGGGAGGCTGCTCCTGCCGTTCGGCCGCTGGCCACGGAGCGGCACCACAACACCACGGTTGGCGCGGCGGGACCTCCCCGGGAGAGCCGCGGGAAGGGGTGGGGGATCTGCCCTCGGGGGAAGCTCCACTTACCCTGCCGAGAGCCGGCTGGAAGGCAGGGCTGGCGGAGGGAGCGCTGCCAGCTGCTGATGGTTCAGCCGCTGGGCCTTGGCCGCTTCCTGGGTCGGCAGTCCCACGTCTGCCCGCGCTGCCCTGGTCTGCTCCCTGCGGCGTCGAGCCCGGGCTCAGGGAACACTGCGAGCTCCAGCAGCAGCCCTGCATTTGTAATGGGTTAATTACCCGGCGGCAGGGAGGAGAGCAGCTGAATGAGACAGCGTGACTTCCCTGGGAATTTTGTCACGTCGCCCCACACGGTACTCGGGCGCTGCCCTCATCACCACCAATCCTCAGGGTACCGCTGCCTCCTGCCAACCTCTTCTGTGTATGTTTCGATGCCGCATTCCAAAATTCCTCAGAAATCTGGAAGAGCTTTTCAAAGTCACATCTTAAAACAATCTCCCTTTTCACCTGAGAATAGCAGACACTCAATGAAGGTCAGTCCAGGCTTCCAAGGGGTTGAAACAACTACACAACTATTTCATGTCGCTCATGGCACAGACTCATTGAACTGTATGTGCTGGTTGCTGATAGGAGTCTGGCCTGTATCACTCCTGTAGCTCTACAGGAACACAGTTGTGAGAGCCTGATTCTAGATTGTGTCTGACTGTAACAGAACGTATGAATGTTGGCTACTCTGGGGACCAGTGCACACTGAAAGGTGCAGTGGAGACCTTTGAAAACCACTGTCTTGTCATTTCCCTCCATTAAAGGCCACCATTTTGCTAAATAGAGATATAGGGAAGCCCAACTCTGCCTGCTGCCATCTTAGCGCACAGCAGCCAGCTCAGTGGTGGGGCAGGAGGAGGTACTGATGGATGGTCATGTTAGGCAAGGTGTCAAGGGAATCCTTGATTACAGTTTGATCCTTTAACTGTCTAACTGAGGTAGGGAATTGATCAGGCCTTCACACTTGAGGGAGGTTATCTAGAAGACAAGTTAACATAAAATGTATTGATAAAAGGTCTTTCTATTGCACAAAAAAATTTTGGGTGCTCAGGGTCTCCCCAGCTGATCTGTCTCCAGTGACATTGACCAGATGATGCAGCTCAGAACATGGTGTTCCTGCTTGTGCTGGTGAAAGGACTGAGCTCAGAGCTGGCTTTAGCCCAGTGTACTCCTTGCCTTCTCAGACCTGAGCAGATCGTGGATCGTGAAGGAGTATGGAGGTACCTGGGAACAAACACATCCCTGGACACTAGTGGAGAGTGTGAAAAATAGATGGCATGTGATAAAGCAGCTTGTAATTGTGGGAGTTTGTGCACTGAAGAGCTTGTACTTGTGGGTACTTACAGAGAAGTTGATACTCAAGCAAGGTTGTGAGTGCCTTCCTGTACCTTGCCAAAGTAGCCCTGTCCACTCTATGTCTTGCTTTCTGCCTCAATGGAAGATTTGGTTCCCAAACCCCTGCTGTACAGCCATATAGTAACAGATGGTCATGAAAATCCTGAGTATTTGGTTGCAGTAGAGTAGTAGAATTCCTTCATCTCTTGATGAAACTGTCAAAAGCTGCAGAGACTACAGAACTGAGAAGTAGGAAGGGCAGTTTGTGGCTTCAAGCTTTCTACAGGAACTGTCTCATGACACCAGTTTTCATAGTTTGGAGGCCCTCCCCTTAGATGAGTAAACTGAGAAACATGGTGAGAGGTTGGAGTCCAGAGTACAGGTCTCTATTCAAGGGATAAATCTCACAGGAAACTCTTTTGCTGTCTGGTGCATAAACCCTGATATCCTGCAGTCCTGTAGTATCCTTCTCAGAGCACCCCAAAGTACTTAGCTATGTTTTTAAATGTCCCACTGTCCTACAAATTGGTTCAGAGTCTGAAGTCCTGATTGACTGATGGGGGCCCCAAGGCATAGAACTGGGTTATGTGATTGTTACAAGGTCATACTAGTTTATCAGCTCCCATTTGCTGGCTTAAAACTTTAAAGGTTTTACAAAGCTTCAGAGCTTAAATCCCTTTTCAATTCTCTGGCTCTGTGATTTTTGCCTTTATTTATTTATTTTTTAAATGTAAACCAATTAAATCTCCTCTGGGCAGGCTTCTCTGTAGAAGATCACATAATCTAACTCATGGTGGGAAGAGACTTGCAAAGCTGTACATGCTAGACAAAAACCCTGCTGAGTCTTGTGTAGTTTATTTAACCTCTGCAGAACCTGACACATGCAAAAAATATTTTTGCCCTATATCTGAAAAGAACAGGTGTGCTTGTGTACTACAAGACGATCCATAGGCCCTTCCAGTCCATTGGTTACTATTAGTTACTATAAGTGAGCATTAAACAACACTCAAAATGAGAAAATCCTTTTAAATGAGCAAATTATGGGTCTTAGGAAGTCTCTGAATTACTGATACTAGCTTTTGTTCCATTTGGGCATTTCTTCACTATTTCAAGGACTGTGAGATCACCTGGAGAAGATTTATCCTGGATATGGAAGACAGATAGGAGGGCTCTAGTTTCCTATTAGTATTGTTTGGTGGTGACTACATCACTACACATCTCCTCTTCTGCAATTTTCCAATTCCCAGCTATGCTGTGACTGCATCCTGCCCTGCCTTTTTACACCAGAAGTCAAAAAAGAACAAGGGAGTAATGGAAAATCTGATATGAAAGTCAGTTGCTAAAGAATAGGGATATAATTAATGCCAGTCAACATAGTTTTATGGAAACTAGGTCTTGTCAAACAAACTTGATCTCGATAATGTAATCTCAAAGAATGGATTGTTAAAGGCAATTGTATAGATGTGATGTACTTGTACTTTCATAAAGCATTTGACTGAGTACTGCATGATAGTCTGGCTAAAATTTTAGTATTATACGATATCAGTAAAGTGCCTGTTAAATGGATTAGGAACTGGTTAGCGAAGAGAGCTCAAAGGCATCATTTGTAGGAAGTATCACTGAATGAGAGTGTGTCCAGGGGATTTGGCAAGAACTGATATCAAGTTCAGACTATTCAACAGGTTTGTCCATGATTTGGAAGTAACTATAAACCATAGCTGAGTGTTAAGTTTTGCAATGTCACAAGATAGGATAATAAATAATGAGAAAAAACTGTAATATAAAGTGATTAGCATCACAAGGAAAGGTAATTATAACAAAATATGTATTAGCAGTCATGTTCACAGTAATACACTTGGGAGCAAGTACTGTATCTTTTGGTCCTCCATTCTGTAGCCTTACATTGAAAAAACCTACTGCATTCCTTAGAGTTGACCACATGATCAGGGAGTGATTTTTAAACTACATGTATGACATTGACAGACTGCTAGCAGAATATAGCATGTAGCTCTAGTACATAGTTTTCAAAGGAATGTAGAAAAACTGAAGGAAGCAAAGCAGAGGAACTGAGACTACTTGGAATGAGAAAATAGAGCTCAATGAATTTAGTTTCAAAAGCTTTGAGAATGACAGTGCAGAAGTACCTTAATGGAGAAAAAAGTGCCAGGTGCACTTTTTTTCTCCACCGTGATCAGAGGACCCTTTCATGACAACA